ATGTATATGTCAATTATTCCTTACATCATCATTAATCTGTTTAATATACAAAGATCTTTCTAATGTGAAATGGTCGCTACATACAGGATAATGCTTTTAAAGAGATCCTCCTGTGAGAAGTTTTATATCAAAATATATTTTACTCTTTATAACTGTTTCCATCTTCCCTTAAAATACGAACAGAATCCACAATGGTTTGAGAATCAGCGTCTCCACTAGATAATTGGGGGTCAGGCTGAAATTAAATTAATCAAGTAAAAAAATAGCAAATGGGAAAATCCCTTTCTCAAACATCTTCAAACCCCCAAATACCACCAAAGGCCACTTCAGCTGACTGTTATCTGCAGTTCAGCGGTTCAAATCTCACCGGCTCAAGGTTGACTCAGCCTTCCATCCTTCCGAGGTGGGTGAAATGAGGACCCAGACTGTTATTGGGGGCAATATGCTGACTCTGTAAACCGCTTAGAGAGGGCTGGAAGCCCTATGAAGCAGTATATAAGTCTAACTGCTATATAAGTCTAACTGCTATTGTGGCAGTCATTAAGTAATCATCACTATTGTTAAGCAAATGATGTGGTTGTTAAGTAAAACCATTCAACTGAACTGACATCTTTTGCTGAAAACTGGCAAAAACCCATTGTGATTCGCAATCACATGACTGAAGTACACTGTGATAGGTCGTAAAGCTTATTACGTGGGAGGGAGGCACCACTTAGGATGGCCAGGGTGTGGAACAATTATAAAACAGTTATTTAGCAAGGATTACCTATATGCTACAATCTAGAAAAGGGATTGCTCTACTAAATACTTTATGCATGGAAGCCACACAGGTCACTTGGGTTCCAGATTTTAAGAAGCATTTCACTGTGTGTTAAGCCAATAAAAAAAAAATATTTTGAACGTTTTAAATGACTCTTATTTCATATGTTTTATGTGTAGAAACGCTCTATATGAACTAACAAAATATAGGTTTCCTTTTAATTGTAGATTAAATGTGAAAGTTATGCATGCTGCTGAAAAATATTTTATTAATTTTACTTTTGCACTAACTGATATGGGGATCCTAAAAGTACATTTATATATATAAACATTGTCCATTTTAAAATGGAATAGGAGAAAGAGGAAAATGTATATTTAAAAGTCACTCACGTTCTGAAAACTCATCGGTTTCAGACAGTTTCATAAAGTTGATATGTAGTTTTTCTGAAGAATATTGTTTGTCTCTATAGTTTCTTTATTTTACAAACTGGAGCTAAATTTTTGTATAAATTATGTCCACTCAGTAAAAACTACATATAAGAATCAAGCTTTGAAGAATCTAATTTTAAGACTATAAAAATAAATATCATACCTTCTCCTCTTGTCTTGAATAAGCTGTAGTTCTATAAGTCCAAAAATGGAATAAAACCCAAATTGTACTAACGTAAGATACCAGCCAAAGGATTTAAAACCTTCCACTGAAAATATCAGTTCCTGGAGAGACAGAAACATATTGCAAAATATGGTATGTAATCATACTACATGAGTTGTAATATCAACTCTCAATTTAATTTTAGATAAGAAATGTTTATATTGTTTGTTTTATCAATGACATTGCTATATCAATAGCTACATAGAACTGATTAACTTTCAAACGAATTTGGGATTAATTAATATACTAAATAGTTGAACATCACCAATATGTGTAACACAAATATATTCATATAAATAGAAATCGTGACCCGTCAAAAGGGTGAATGACAAAACCGCACCCGATTAAACTGCGTCGCTGATGTCATCAACGCGGCGACAACAGCCAGCGCGGAGAAAGAAGGGCGCTTTAAATAGCGTGTTGAAAGAAAGCCGATTCAACTTAAGGTAAGAGTGAGGTTTAGGGTTAGCTTTAGGGTTAGGTTTGGGGTTAGGTTAAGGGTTAGGGTTAGGTTAAGGGTTAGGGTGAGGTTTAGGGTTAGGTTAAGGGTTAGGTTTAGGGTTAGGTTAAGGGTTAGGTTTAGGGGTTAAGTTTAGGTTTAGGGTTTACAGCATGCTTCTGTCTATGCGCTGTTGTCGTCCTGTTGATGACGTCAGCGACGCGGTTTAGTGGGGCGCGGTTTTGTCGTTCGCCCCTTTGTCAGTGAACCAATAGAAATATACCCCCCCCCAAATGTCCCATTTAGCTGTTATATATCAACCAATTATCTTTTGAAACCATATGCCTTCTTACATTATAATGAAGTGGTTTGTTTATCTCTGATTTAGGATGATGTGCAAATGAATCAGTGAATGAATCGTGGTTTATTTTAGAGAAATAAACCCGTATTTCGTCAGTCAATGATTGCATATTATGCTCAACCCCAGTTGCAGTTAGTAGTCACTTGACTTGCTTCCCATACAAGCCCTGAGCCAGCTACAAGCGCAAGACACAAACAACTCCGAAAGCAAGGAAAACATGTGAATGAGGCTTACATTAAGGGTTGATTGTAGCCGAGTTTGTACACTGTGCTATTTTTGTTCAGTACGACATACAAACTCGCTCATCATGATTTAGCATAGCATAGAAAGCAAGCCATTGTTGCATATCCAATAAAAAAAAATTAAAGAACCCTGCTTTAGTATTATTCAGAACAGCTGCATTTTATTGCTATTTTATTTTCAAACTTTTGCATAATATTTGCTGCAGCTGCACATTCATTTCTTGTTTTCACTGAGTGGCTCACATCTAGTTCAAATTTCGTCAATGACGTATAAAGTGTTCCAATGTGCACTATGCACCTTTCATAAAATGCTCAATATGCATTTTGTTGCTGGTTCACCCAAATACAAAGTCATTTCTGTTGAAATTTAAATTCGAATTGATGCGAATTTTTTTTTTAGTGCAGAAGTTGGAAATTAATCCCTAGAATGGAGATTGAAAGGCCTTCTCTTGCCTCAATATTGCTGCTGGCAATATGGAATTTAGTCACTGTTATGTTCATCAAGACTGAAGCCTTAAAATTATGTGTTTCTTCTTTGACGAATATGATTCTGAGTAAGAAAAATCAAATGCCTAGATAGCAATAGCAGTTAGACTTATATACCGCTTCATAGGACTTTCAGCCCTCTCTAAGCGGTTTACAGAGTCAGCATATTGCCCCCAACAATCCGGGTCCTCATTTTACCCACCTCGGAAGGATGGAAGGCTGAGTCAACCCTGAGCCGGTGAGATTTGAACAGCCGAACTGCAGAACTGCAGTCAGCTGAAGTAGCCTGCAGTGCTGCACTCTAACCACTGCGCCACCTCGGCTCTACAATATTGGGATACCTGGCTTAGATGCAGTATATGCAGGAAGGATCTGGGGGCCTAACTGGTAACTAACCGATGTTAATTACTACCGCATAGGGTTACTTTGTATGAGTAGGCATGGTTCTGCAGCAGCTGAACAGATCAAAGGAATCGTGGGTTATACCACAAAAACCTTGCATTCAGATAACAGGAGATAAAATCCCACTGTTCTCTGCACTAGTTAAGACAGCACTTAGAAAACTGCCTCCAGTTCTAGATAAAGACATGGTGAGTCTGGATTTCATTGAAAGGAAAGCCACCAGAACAAGAGTCCAGAAACCAAGCTGTATAAAGAATGGTTAAAGATTTGGGGGCATATTATAGTTTACAAAAGTTAAGGCTGAAATAGACATGGCATCTCTAAAATGCGCAAGAGTGGGCAGAAAACGAGGGCAGGAAGAGGACTAATGGTTGAAATGAAAAATCATTTAGATTGAAGTTTAGAAGGACTTCCTGACAGGAATATGTGCTCACCAATGGAACAGTATTCTCAGAATAATAGTCAGAGGTGGGTTCCTACCAGTTTGCACCTGTTCGGTAGAACCGGTTCGTCAAATCTACCGAACCGGTTAGAAGAGGTTCCACCAGTGGACCCGGAAAGCAGGCCACACCTACAGAAGAGGTTCCAAACTTTTTGAAACCCACCACTGGTCCTTGGATATGATTATTCTACACTATCATGCTCATATTTATAAAACTCAGTGCCTCTGTGAAAGGTAAGGATGACTACTGCGTTTGTGGTGCAATCAGAACATTGCGTGTGTTGAAGTTGTTTTAACGCAAACCAAAGATGCCTTTTAAAAAACAAGTTTACATCCTATTCTTATGCATGCCAGTGCTGTCTGTGAGGTAATTTAAGGTGGTTCTGACAAGTGTCGTCGGCACCTTCATATCCGGTCACATGGGCGGCAAGCCACTCCCATCCGGTCACACGGACGGCAAGCCACTCCCACAAAGGAGGCCACACCCACAGAGTAGGTTGAAACAAAACCCACCACTGATAGTAGTAGTACTCTTTGGTGATAGTTTTCAAATGGGAACTGTAAGTGTGACCTCTCAGGGATCATTTAGTCACTCAGCCGAGTTCTTGAATCATATATTCTTTCATTTGGGTCTTTATATGGTATTTCACACTACTTTTACCCACTGATCCTGAAGAAATTCCCTGGCAGAAACCACAACTTATATCTGTTGCTTCTCCTATCTGCCCATTATTCAGATATTTATATAATGTATGTATGTATGTATGTATGTATGTATGTATGTATGTATGTATGTATGTATGTATGTATGTATGTATAATATTAGGGTTTGCCCTATTTTGCACTTATACATGGAGAATCTGTCTTTTCTCTTATGTGAAAAATTATATGAATGGTATTTTGATAACCTCAAAATACCATTCAAAACGTACATTATGACTACGTACCTTATGAAGTGAACATACATTATGATTACATGTACACTTCAAACTGACACTTCTGATTCAAGATGACAACTCCCTTGAATTCTTTATTTCATAAAAAAGAAAAAAATATCCCAGCAGCTAGGTCCTAGCCATGTAGGGAAAAAACGTAAAGCTCTTTTTACTTGACATCGAGTTTTGTTTTTGTAAAAAAAAACCTTTTTCATTGCATGTTTATAGGATCCATAAATGAACAGCCTTTTCATCTTAGAACAAATAATGCTTAAAACCACTTTTACTAAAGCTAAATGTTTGCTTTATGATAACTATTAGCTATTTAACTTACGTTGCTCTTCTCAACAATTTTCAAGGTGCCAGATGGGTCATATAATAAATTACATTTCAGAAAATATTACAACTAATGAAAATTTCTATTTGCAAAACATGTATTTTCCAGGTTTATATTTTAAATATTCAAGTATATTATTAAACATGTAGTAATTCTTTAATCTATAAAAATTTAAATTCTTGCTAATTCCCAAATTTATAATTTAATTACCTTAATGCTCAGTTGAATAAAACTTTCTAATACTAATTTCTATCTGAACTTTTTCAATGGACGCTGAACCTTGCAAAACTTTTAAGAAAGCTCATTAATAAGTGGACATTCCCACTTTTCATCAAATGTCTGTTTATCTTGATAAGAATAGAATTTTCTCTTATTTTAAAAAGCTTACAGCTGCATCAAAATTGCTATAAGCGACGAAAATTGTTTTCTGGCAATTTTTTTCACAACCACATACAAGGAACGATAGTGCATACCTGCAAATATCCATAAATAAGATAAAACAGGAAGACTCCCAAAACACAAATAAAAAACTGTGTAGGTTTGTTAAATTTGCTGAGATTAATTCCGAGGACAATTATATCATCTACAGATTTGATGTGTGGCGACATAGCTTGGGATTTTGATGGTATGCTGATAGAAACGTATTTCCGAGAGGAATTGAATTTCATATCCATAATTCCTAATCTTCTGCATTCGGTAGTTAAACGTCCTGTTTGATTGCAAGCTGAAACAAATAAGGTTAAATTTAATCATAGCAACAGTTAAAGGAGCGCCTTATGTATTCATTATGACACTTAGTTGTAATTTGTTTCACTTAGACTCTCTAAGGCGATTTTAAAAATTTCATTAGTTCTGTAAATAATTTTTTTGCGTAAATTTTATTAAAAATGTTACGGAGAAAATAAAAAAAACTAACACAAACTAATACAGGATGAAGGTGAAAAAAGAAATAAAAAAGAGAAAAGGAAAATAAGAAAAGCACACAAAGAAAATAATTGAATGCATAATCTAATTTACCAAGAGATATTTAAGTATTACTGTATTTTAGGCTTCTAGAAAACTGATTTGCAAGTGTTTGATTGATCTCAAGGCAGAACAGATAAATAGGATATACTATGCAAGAGAAACAAAACAACAACAATTACTAGAATATCTAACTACATAATAGTAATGTGAAATGCATCTGGTTTAACACAATTAGTCTGTGGGGTCCTTGGTATTCTCTGAGCTTTTTCTTGCAGCCATTTCATTACGAAATTGGTTAGCAGCACTAGAAGGATGTGGGCAACCCCACTCTCTTCTAGCACTGATGATGTTACCTAGTTTGCCAATTAAACATCTGCAAAAAAAACAACCAAACTTGGAAAGCACCAAGGACCCACAATTCAATCCTGAGCTACAAATATTCTTTTCTCTTGTTATGGATTACTTTGTGCCTTCAATTGCTATGCTAGTAAAAATACCTTTAATCAAACCCGAGTTCACATCATAGCTACCAACATTGAGATGCAGACTTGCTACTGGACACACAGAAGGACAAGCACGTAACCAGCTTTTTCTTAATGTGACAGATGGAATGTAAAAATCTTGTCGCTAGCTTTATATCTACTCGATTGTTAGTAAATTCAAAATGCAAACATTCTAAACCACAAATAAAAATAGAATGCACTAAGCCTAACTACAATTTCAAATGTATTAATTCAATTCCCTCTATCCTCTATTTGTGCATAAACATACACTTGTATATGAGTATCACTTAACAGATTTTTTTTTAAAGTCAGCAAATTGTACTTCTAAATTTAATGTCTTGGGAAAACTTCTTACATAACTCGATGAAGTTTACTTCCTAACAAATGCAGCAAGGATTGAACCAAATACCACTGAAAGGTACTTAAATTGTTTTTCAAAATACTGTTTCAAGCATTTTTTTTTGGTACTAATAATATATGGATTTCTTGTCTTTAAAAAGCACGGGAGAAACAATTGAACAGATGTGTCAGCATCTATAACAAGTCAGGTGATGTAAAAAAATGTCAAGTGTCATGATGTCAAAAAAATAATTGCATAACTGCATCATGATATTTGACCCAAGTATATAAGTGGTGATATTATTTGACATTCCTCTCTCCAACACTTATGAAGTGAGCTTTTTCTGAACAATGTTATGTAAAACAGAATTGTTTCTTTGGGCCATAAAATTAAAAGATAAATGATAATTCTAGATTAGCCTATTTTACTCATCACTTTTATTTCCCATCTTTTGTCTACAAAAACCTAACAGTAACCAAAACTAAAATGCAAACTACATTGGAAATTTAAATAAAAACTAATGAATATATATTACATTTAAATTTCTTGGAATATTTGTATCTTATCAATTTACAGGTTGTTTTTGGAGAGAATATATGTTACTTACCACTGTCCTAAAAGTTTACCAATATAGAAAAGACAAACATTGGATAAAATTTGTTATGTGTTTAGTTTTATTAAGCATTTTATTATAGCATTTACATATGTCTGCAACAGGTAGGGTGATGATGACAATGGAACATTTCTTTGAAGATTAGGCACTTACAGGAAGAACTGCACTAATATGAAAATACAATTCTGCTACTGTTTATTGTTTCATTTATTTTATTAATGATATTGCTGTTCTAATTCTAACTTATTTTGTGCACTGTCTAGCGCAGGGGTGTCAAACTCAATTTTCATTGAGGGCCGCATCAGAGTTGCATTTCACCTGGGGGGCGTGGGGGCGTGGCCAGCCCAATGTCACTGGTATCAGGAGCGCCTGTGGGGGGCCTGAGTGCTCTGCCAGCGAAAAAGGGCTCCCAAGCTATGTTTTCAGCTATGATGGCCTCCCGCAACCTTCTGCCAGCAAAAACGGAGCTCAGGAGAGCCATTTTCGCTGGCACAGGCATCACAGGCCAGTCCTTCGCAGTTTCCTGGGCCGCCCTGCAGGCCAGATCTAAGCACCCCACAGGCTGGATCCGGCCCCCGGGCTCTCAGTTTGACACCCCTGGTATAGAGTTTATGGAGTAAGGCTGTTCATAACCTTATAAATTTGATAAATAAATAAAGAATATGTTAAGCCGGCTTTAGGATCTTCCTTACAATCTCTGAATGTTTCTCATCTCAAAATGGCAAGTTCTGTCCATTTGGAGGTAATTAGTAATTTAATAAAATTATATGCCACCCAATCCCGTAGGACTCCGGGCGGCTTACAGAAACAAGATAAAAGTTAAAAAGTTAAAAATAAAANGATGTCACTCCTGTTGGGGGCACCTATGGTAGCTCGAGTGCTCTGCCAGCGAAAACAGGTTCCCAAGCTCCGCTTTCAGCTGCCACGGCCTCCTGCAACCCTCTGCCCGTGAAAACGGAGCTCGGGAGGGCCTCACATGTTTTCACTGGCAGAGGGTTGCAGGAGGCCGTGGCAGCTGAAAGCGGAGCTCGGGAACCTGCTTTCAGTGGCAGAAGCACTGCAGGCCGGTCCTTCGATGTTTCCAGTGTGTCCCTGCAGGCCAGATCTAAGTACCCGGGGGATTTGGCCCCCGGGCCTTGAGTTTGACACCCCTGCTATAGGCAATGTTGAACTGTGCAAATCCATTTTCTGACTCAGTATAGACCAGCCACCAGCCTCCTATTTAAGTTTAAACAGGGGGTGACCTCCAAGCTCGGACAGTATCGTTGATTCTGATAGGGATAAAAGGAAATGAGGCAAGGCAAATGAACGCCAGGCTGTGGCCTAGGCAGGAATTCTACTCTTATCACTCATAAGCAGCAAGCTATGCCTTGCAGAAGATAGTATTCTCTGAAGAAGCTAACTCCACCTTTGCGGGCTGTGATTGGTTCCTATAAATGGTTGGTCCTCAGTTTTACCTTAGCAACATAGCAATGACAGTGTAAGCAGGACTTGAAGCTTCTCGTATATATAGTGAAAGCTTTTGGTAGTTGCAGGATCAAGAGATATTATTCCATGCCCCTCTTCAGAAATCAAACCTTGGTCTTTGCAATCGGAGCTGGGCTGGTTTGTAGATTTATTGCCAAGCCTTTGCTGGGCGATAAGTCAGAAGAGTGATCTGGTTTTCCTCTTCTTGTTGCTTTGAATTTGAGCCTGGGTTTAGTTTGGTTTGTTTGATCCCAGAAGTGGGGATGTTGTTTTGGGCTTTTGGGATGGCACAATGCCCGACCTTTCAGCAAATGGCTTCTGCTTTCAGAACTCTCAAAGAGCTCAGATGGTGCCCAGTCCTGCTTCTGTTAATTTTTCCTGTTTTTCTCATATTCGCAGTGCTGACTCCAAAATCCTTATGCACATTGCTTGCAGTTTTTGTTTACTTCAAGGCATTTGCCTCCCAATGCAAGAATTAAATGAAGACCAGTTTTCAAGACGAAAGCAGTTATACAATACAATACAATACAATAATACAATACAATAATACAATACAATACAATACAATACAATACAATACAATACAATACAATACAATANAGACCAATAGGCAGCCAGTGCAGCTCGCAGAGGATAGGTGTGCCCACATGACCGTGCCCACCCAGCAACTGGGCAGAGAACCCCTTGCTACAAATTTTTGAAGCTCATCCCTGAGCAAGGGTGTCAAAATTGCGGCCCACGGGCTATTTACATCACGCGCAGGCCACGCCCGCCCCAGCTCCGCGAAGGGAAAAACATTGCAATATGTCATGTGATGGCAATGTGATGCTGCAAGTTTGACACCCGTGCTCTTAAGTCAAAGCTCTCGATTCAGCAGGTATATCCAAATGATAATTCTTTTCCAAAGGATTTGGAGAATAGTTTCAGGGACTCAAACCCCATGTTTTGCTTTTCTACCCATTCAGGATAGGACTAATTTCCTGCTGGATTAGGGGCACCACCCTTCCTGAAGGCGAGGACAGATTTTTTGGTGTTCCAAAATGGCAACATGTTATCCTGAAAAACGCCATCACAGAGAGTGATGCTGCGGAGAAAAAAATTGAATGTCAGTGGCCCGAACAGGGTGACATCCACAACTTGAATTGCATTTTGAGCAACTTGGACCAAACTGTTGTAATAGCTCGCCCATCTCTTGATTTTAATCAGGTTTTTCTGTTCATTAGGACAAATATCTGCATCTGCTTTCAAGCTTGTTTCATTGCAGTATCTACACATGACATGGTGCCTAGCAACAGAGAGCAGAATCTGGTATTTCTGTCGGGTCTCCCCCCCCCCCCCCCAGTTTAGTTTGTTGCCTGCAAGCTTCTTTTCACTAGTTTTTGAAACAGGAAGGACTGGAGAACATATAAATCTTTGCATAGGAAAGACGTGAAATGCTTATTAGTATAATTTGTTATTTCAAATTTGCTATGATTTCCAAATCATGTAATTGAATATCCTCAGGAATTTTCATGATGCTCCTGAGGAATATTTTTCCCCCAGAACCTGATATGCACAGAAAATACAGACCTGCTTCTACATTCAGCATGTGAAAACTGCATTTCTATTTTTGTGTGTGTGTTCAAATTCTAGAGACAATTGTTAAATAGGTGTGTTGTGTATGCATACAGTGTAAAGATGTGAAAGGAAAGTTGGAGGGGGGTGAAAGAAAGGGTGTATGGAGGGTTGAAGTGGTATATTGGGTTTGTATTTTGGGGAGTATTCTTGACAAGGATGGCTGTGTTTATTGCTCAATGTTATACGGCCCCGGTTATGCATAGTATATATGTGACTGTATGAAATGAAAATGAAAAT